GTGAGGGTCGGGAGTTCCGACGTATGTCGAGTTCCGACGGTCGGGAGTTCCGACATATGTCGGGAGTTCCGACACCTCACTAACTTTAACTTCGATTACATGTTTTCAAAATTACCGAGGGTCGAGGGTTCCGACTTGAGTCGGGAGTTCCGGCGGTCGGAAGTCCCGCATTCTTCGGGAGTTCCGATGCCTCACAACATCACTTTGTAACTTAGTTATCTTTGTTGGCCGATGTGAGTCATACCGGGACGTGTCCGGTATGCATACCGAACGTGTCCGGTATTGCAACGACTATAAAGCGGCTAGTTTTTCAAGGGGCTATAAATACCCCAAGCCTCCACCTTTGTAGGTCATTGATTCTCTTGACTTAGACACACGTTTTTTGAGCCTTGCCAACCCTCTCTTAGTGAGTGATTGATCAAACTTGCAAAATCAATTTATGGGTTGAGTGAAATTCAAAAGAGAGCCATCCAACCACTTGAGCACTTGTGCATATTGTCAATCTCGTGATTCGCATTTGTTACTCTTGGACTCTTCGGTCCTAGACGGTTAGACGTCGCGGAGAGCACCCGGGAGATTGTGGTGTGCCTCGGAAAGTTTAGTAATTGTCGATTCCGCGCATCGGAATCAATTAGTGGAAGGAGGAAAAGGAGTTGGAAAAGACTCCGGCTAGAGTGACCTTCGTGGTATCCTCTAGGGCTGACCTTCACTGGGTCGCCTGCAGCCCCCTCAACGGAGAGTAGGACTCGAACGAGTCCGAACTTCTCGTAAAAACAAATATCGTGTCTCAATTCGCATTTCATTTGATATTTGTGTTGCTCTAGCACTTGTGCAGGTTCTCTGTGTATACTGATAGTTAAATTAGGTGCCTGCAGTTTGGTTTTGAAGATAGAAATCAAAAGGAGCAAGTTCGGGGCTGATCTGCGAGAATCGTGTATACTGGACACGTCCCAGGTATTCATACGGACACGTCCGGTATTTCCTACCTGCACTAAAAATATTTATTCTCTGTTCTAACTTGATGTTGCGGGTTGTAGCTTCTAGATATATTCTTTATACCTTGTTTACTCTGTGGCTAACTTGTGAGGGGTGGTAGTACTCTTAATTTGGAGTTTCCATTTTGGAAACTCCCCTTTCTAATTGTTTCCGCATTTAAAGGTGTTAATTTTCAGAAACGCCTATTCACCCCCCCTCTAGGCGACATCCTAGGTCCTTTCACATTGCCTTTCCTGATCCATCATTTATGGTTTTAACAAATCAGTACCACTGTGTAGACAAGCACATATATTTATTCTACTTCTGTAATGGTTCAACAATCCAGACAGGGGTACTGGCCACACCATTCTAGCTTATTATTTTTGCCAAACTTTATATTAGGAATTAGAATCAAGAAGAATGTGCCTTGCAATAAGAATGGCTGTTATCCATCTTACAAAAATGTAGAAATATAGAGGTTTTGTGGTGTCAAAATCGCAACCGTGCTCATACAAGGCTCCAAGAAAATAGCCTATAAATGCAAGAGGGATGAAAAGGAATTAGAGAAATGTCTTGCTGACCATTAGCACCATACGGCACCATACAACAAGGAGGCTCCAACGCTAGACCACAAGGTGCCACGGGCGCCATGATCCTGCTAGCCTATAATTGGAGGGGCTCTGTAGCTCAAAGATGCTGCATTGATTGGAAAACACATAGCCTTGTAAAGGCCAGTAAGGGCTTGCACCTCCGTGCTCTAGATGAACTGATGAAGTTGGGCTAGTTCATGACAGAACTGACCCAAGCCTAGTTGTAGTCCTTGGTGTCGACGTGGTTGCGCGCCTCAGTGACCTCCACCGCGAGGATGTAGCCATTGCTGCCATTGTCTGTTGATCGGACCCGGCACGAAACCCGTGTACCCCGCCACGGCACCGTGGATCACCGAATGTGCCAGCAGTGTGCAGTACAGGTTGTCGTCCACGTTGGCCGCCACGACGCTGACCATGTACGCCGGGTCGATGTACTTCAACATGAGCAGCTCCCCGACGTGCTCCTCCACCTACCACGCCCCCAGCTCGGCCTTGAGCCACGCGCCCATGTCTAGGAACACCGGGTTGCCGGACTCATCGTGCTGTTGCTGCTACTGTGGGTCGGGTCTCGGAATGAAGCGCTGCCCATTGCCCTCGGCGATGACGACCACGGCATGGCCTTTCTCAAGGCCTGCGGTACAGGAACTCGAATAGCCTGCCGACGCCACAGAGGTAGAAGTCCTCCTTGGGATGAGGCAGCAGTCGACGACGCGATTTTTGAGCGTGGTGTGCGACGCGATGTGGCCCGCGCTCCGGCCCATTAGCTTCACGAGCCCCACGCCGTTCGCCGCGCTCTCGGCCTCCACGTGCGTCGCGGCGCTGGCCTGCTACGCCGCCTCCACCACCGGGTGGAACTAGAAGGAGCGGTCGATGATGCCCATGTCGTTGTCCACCTTCTGCGACCTGCGCGACGCTAGTGACGCTCACGGGGAGGTCTCGCCACCGCACCTCCTCGAAGATCTTCACCAGTCCTCGCATCGCGTGACGTCGCCGCCGATGGCGTACACCTGGTTGAACCCTCGCCCATCGATGTCATCCACGATCCTAGTGAGGTCGAACCCCATGGAAACCCTAGGCATGGTCACTCATTCACGCACCGTCGTGGCTGGGAGAGCCGCTCCTCTACGGTGCCGAGAGAATAGATCCGCAGCTGGTGATGACGGAGCCACGGAGGTGGTCTTGATCGTGGGCATGGTCATGGGTGTAGGCGCGAGGTGGATGGGCAATGGCAGTTTGGATCGTGGTTGGGGGCGGGGGCAACCCATGGGAATCAGAGCGATGATTTGGGATAGCCTTCCTAATGGGCATGGCGCAACGATTCCCTAGAGATCTTTTAGCGCGGTGATTGCGCATCACACGGGGGGCGGCCCACTGCATGCGCGACTGATGGAAGGCGCGCCGGACGAGCGACGGAGTGAGAGATTTTTCGCACGACGATGAACGATTCCCTAGGCTTTGGTGTCGCACCTGTGGATGGAATAGTTACGAATGTTTTAGTTGTATAGATAGATAGGAAAAAATGTCTTCTCGCTTCAGTACATAATGAAACTAGAGCCAGAGCCACCCAAAGCTCTAACAAATTAAACTGGACCTTAGTATGTGACATTCCCTTCGACAGATTACCAAAATGTCTCTTCGATATATAAAAAAGGGTCGTTTAGTAGATTTATGGTGCTCCAACAATTATCTAAGGCATCACTAATGCCTACAGTTTTTGAGTAATCACCAAATCACTAAGCACGCCTCTCTCTATATGAAGGGATCTCCCCTATTCGACGGTTAGTGCAAGCGCCATGAAATTCAACGTGTACAACGGAGCCCATAACTCACCGATGTGGACGTGCAACACCCATGCTGTTGATGAGCATCACCGATGATTACATAGATGCAGACATGCCGAACTAGATGTACCTGCCAAGAGCGACGGGGGGACAGGCCAAGGGGCAAGGGCATAGTGGGAGCCACGCCGTGAGGTGTTTGTGGCCGCCTCCGTTGATCCCACCTCCTCCAGCTCCACCCTCAAGCGCCGCCAGCTCGCCACGCATGAGGGGATCTGGATTGCGGATCATGACGCTAGTGGTGCAACCCTCAATGGACCTTGTCATGGAGTGCTAGGATGAGGGTGGGGCAACGACGAGTGGGCGTAACTGCTGCGGGGGCGAGCCGCGACATGCGGGGCGGCGGGGAGAAGATAAAAGAGAGACGGTGGAGAAAATCATAGGGGGCAGGAGAAAATAGAAAATAAATAAATAAATATGCGATACATGGGTCTCACATGTAAGGTTGGATATATGGTCGATGCTCACGCAGAGCTGCTTGTAGAGTGCTACCAAACACGTCCCTGTACACACCTTTGTAGGATAGGGAAAAGGTAATTTGTTAGAGTTGCTCTAAGGCAGCCAAAATAGTCTTTGGCTATTTTGATGAATTTTGTCCATCATTTTGTTGATGCCAAAATTTGGCTTAGCACATTCGTTTGGTCATTTGAGAGTATCTCTAAAATTTCCTTCAAAATTACATGGTAAGTCAATCATTATGGACATGAGAACAAAATAAATAGAGTATTTTAGTTTTATATTTCAAATAGTTTTCAGCAATTAGCTTCTTAAAACTTGAAAACTAGGTGGAAAGAGCAAAAAAAAAAAAACAGGCAACAAAAGATACAATCATGAGAAAACCAATAGTCCTATGTAAGAGTATCTTTAGGAGTCTTTTTTAAGTTATTTTAAAGTATTAATTGGAGAAACATTTGAATAACAATTGTTTTCTATATCTTGTCATCCTCTAATAACTTTTCTATATCTTACGTATATTTTAGAGAAACAATCTCGTTCATTATCTTTTTAGGATTTTGGTGTTTTTGTCCCTGATACATACTCCAATGATGATTTCGGTGTTTTTGCCCCTACTACACACTCCAAGCGTTTCTCTAAAAAGCTCCGGTCACAGCTTCTTCGGTGCAGCAGTTTCTTTGGCGGAGCAGTTTTAATTGTTGAAAAACGTTTGGCAAAACAAAATAACTATTATGCCCTTTTTTTTCTCCTTTTCCTTCTCTCTTCTTTCTTGCCTCACGCCCGCCCGCCCGCTTTCTTCGCCACGCACACACGCACGCCCGACGCACGCGGCACGCCGGTTCGATTTCATTCAACACTGGGGCTTACAGCATACAGCGGTAAGATTTTTTCATAATTTGAATTGGTATCCTTCGCTAGCCGTTCTCTTGACCTTACGGCAGCGTTCAAGCGGAGCAGGAGCAGCGCCGCGGCAGGCTACCGGCAGATCTGACAATCGCCGGGGCGCGACGCTACCAGCGGGTTCCGCAGAGTGCTAACCCGGGCGGCGGCTCTTGGTCGCCGCGCCGCCGCATCCTGCTGCGCGGTCGCCAGCCGTCGGTTGACCGGCGGAGGGTGTAGCCCGGGCCGGGGGTGCAGTATCATGAGGGCAGGGCGGTCTGCTGCTGCGGTGAGCCGAACGATCCCCCCCTCTTTTTTTTCCCTCAATCTCATCTTGCTTCGTATCTATTTACCTGTTTTCATATCAGATTCCCCTCACCTTTTGAAATGCTTCAAATTTTTAAGGCGTAGTACATTTTGGCATCGTCGTGTTATTTTAGCTTCTAGTATAGTTGTGATGTTCAGTTTCTCACTAGGATTTCAAATCTACAATGCTCGGAAAAATCAGCGGGTCATAAGGATAACGAGTGATTTTAACCGTCTGATTTTCTATGTTAACATTGGTATTGGTATTGCTATTGCCCTCGTTCCTAATTTTTTTTCTGGATCTACTACTATCAACCAGGAACTGTCCACCCTGGCTGCTGGCGGGACGCCATGGAAGGGACGGCTGCGTTCTCACCACACGACCCCTCAAAGTTTTCCCGTTCAGAGGCTCCCTTCGCAGACCAATAACCTGGGGGAGGAAGAGGATCTCCAAACGTTAAAGAAGCAGGCTGCCCCCAAGAAGACAGCGAGATGTTGTCAGGCTAGAGCTGTACGGCAATCGCTGCGGCTCAATGGCAGAGATTCTAAGCATCCAATCATGATAGACAATGAAGTAAATGAGGTAGGAGCTGCTCTTGCTTGACTTCTATATTTTTCCTTTCAATTCCATGCATTTCACTCCTGAATGTTATCATGTTTGTTACTTAGAAAGCTTGATTCAGTTCACACTTGATTTATAGCTTATGAGAAATAGCGTTATAACTTATAATTTGCACTCCCTCTTGTAGGAACATAAGGCCAGCGCTGATCAATCAGCAATTATGGTTCTCCGCAGATCCCCACGGTTTCATGTGGAAGATAAGAGTTTGGGCAAGCCGCTGTTGCCACCAAATCGCCTGGAGACCCCTCCTAACAGAAAGAGTAAAAGTGCTCATTTGAAAGACAAAAATCAAGAGAGTCTGAAAAGTGATAGGAGAAATGCTGGATTGGAGCCTTTGGCAAGGATGAAAAGGCAGAATGAGCCCCAGTTACTTTGTCAAGATCCCCGAGGCATCACCCCCAGGAAAAATATTGCAGATGTATCTAACAAAAAGAGTGAGAAGAAAGAGTTAATGCCCACTAATTGTAAAGTGTTGACAGGAAAGAGGAAGAGAGGCACAAAAAGGAGCTTGCCATCGAAGAAGCAAAGTTGCCAAGAGCCAAAACCATTCCCTACAAATCGCCAAGAAATTGCACCTTGTGATGAACCCAGAAAATCTACCCACAGAAGGATTGAAAAGGAACCTTCTGTTGTGGTGAAGCCTAAAAGTAGTGATGAGGAATTGACAAACATTGATGAAAACATCAGCAAACCAAGTGGGACTGAAAGAGAAGGAGTGGAAAATTTTTGTAGTTCTGATGATTGGACGAAAGAGCAGGACATGGCATTGCGCAAAGCTTACTTCACTGCCCGACCATCCCCACATTTCTGGAAGAGAGTTTCAAAAATGGTATTCAGTCATTACATCATTTGCTTTAGTGGTTCTTTCATTTCTTGTAAGTTGCAAAGAGCTGACCAAAGAAATATTTATTATATATTACATGAAAAAGGATGAGAATACTGAAGTATTGTGGCCAAAAATGTTTCTGCACTTTTCAGAAACGGATCCCAGTGCACATGGTTGTTCACAAGTTATTTTGTTTGATCAATCCTTTTTTACTATCAAAGTTTTATAATTATATCTATGATATGGGTGTTATATGAAGATTCTAGCTGAAAGGTAATAAAGTCATTAATTATCGACTGGCCTTGTTTGTTACTAACCTTGAGGATTTGAGAAGATAATTTCCCTTAGGGAAGATTGCAATATACATGAGTCTGAATAGGTATAGCCCTTGATATACTTAACAGTTTTGTGCTGACGAATTTGGTTCCTTTCTTCTGGCATATACAAAGATTCTAATGCATCATTTTAGTGAAAACAATATCCTCATACATCATTAAGTTTCAATAACAGTTCATTCTTTGGTTTTAGTAGTCCACAGATTTACTAGTTCTGTTGATAAAAGGGTATGGGGTATGATTAGACAGATTCAAATAATAAAACATCTAAAAAAAGATGTATAGCTTGGGGCTCAAACCAACAATCAAAGTAACCTGAAGTTTCATAGTGTTAGTTTATTTTTTTTTGTATTTCACCGGAATATTTTAATGGTAGGTCCTGTTTCTTGTTTGGCATATTTCTTTTTCCATGTGTGAAATTCTACCTTTGTCATTTATTAGCTCAGTGATTTTTGACACAACTCTTTTCAGGTGCCAGGGAGATCTGCTGAAGACTGCTTCAACAGAATTCATGCTGACCTCACGACACCAACTCCAATAGCCCCACGTCCCAGAACAAGTAAAACAACATTTTCTCCTATAGGAAATTTCACATTGTCTGATACAAAACTTCCAAATCTCTTGGAACCTAGAGTTGCAAGGCAAAGGACCGCTAAACAGAAGGGTCTAGCAGCACAGAAGACAGTGAGGCATTTGTTGCAGAAGCATTGTGTCATTGATCAAGCTCAAGAGGCTGATCACTTCTCAGTTTTTGAAAGCTCACCAAGTGCCTTACAATTGAACTTATCTTTTGAAGATTCTCATGGGACCCCTGACAGTTATACGAATTCAGGTTCTCTAGGCAAATGCAGTGGAAGCACTTCAGCACGAAAGAAACCATTTTCAAGGTTAAGAACTAAGCCATCTGAACCGAGCCCAGAAGTTCTCAAGCCTATAAAGAATGTTATCTTACATGAGAAGTACATTGATCAATTGTCACGTAGAGAATACACAAAAAGGCCTCGCAAAAGGACTCCAGGCTCTAAAGCTGCTGATTCTGAGAAGGTTCTTTCTGAGCAGAAAGCTGGTAGTCTGAAGGCCGCTAAAAATGCTCTCTTCTCAGAAGCAACTGACTTTATAAGCAGTTTTAAGAAGCTGCAAGCCTATTCCCTTGCACATGTTGTGGAGAATAGTGAAGATGATGAGATTGAATGTGATGTCAGTGATTATAGCCATGATGATAAAGAATAAGGAGGTGCTTACAGTGTTAATTCCCAGCAGCCCTTAGCAATTATTGCCTTTTTGTTAATGGATGTTAGTCATCACTCATCAGTGCCTGGTGCTGCAATAAGGCTAGGCAGTTACCAGTATGGGTTGTATGGGGGTATATTCTGCCTAATATGTGTCTTGTTCCTAGTGCCCTCGGAGCTGTAAGTGAATTGAGAAAGTGTTGCCTTCATAATGCCTTATGATGATTGAAACCAATTGAAATTGCAATGGTCGAACCTGTTTCTCTTGTGTTTGCATAAATCAGAAAGCTTCATTAAATATAGTTTGTTCATTTCTTTTTCTAAAACACACAAGAGAGTTGTGTATCATTTTGTTAAGGGAGAAAAAAAGTCTATTCAATTGATAAGAAAGTTTCTACATGTTACATTAGGGCAATGTATTTTAAAAATACTCACCATGTAAGATCCACATTACTTTAGCTCTTTTTCAGTGACCTGACCAGGGTAAGAGACGTGTCTCAGAAGTAGTCTCCCACACCCTTTGAATTTTATGCGTCATTTCCCCTTCTGAGCTTACAATATGATGAATGACATGACACTGATGCATTGCCATTCTTGGTGATTGATGCACGAGGATCCATCCAACATTAATTCAGGAAGCACTTATAGTTTGACAAGGTGAAATAACACTGCTTTGCTGTATTGGTATATGGTATTCTGGTGAGTTGAAGTATTTATTATTTAGCTGCTTAGTCTCTTAAAATAGTGTTCCACACTTTAACTTGTGACTTGTAATATATCTGGCATATGCTCTACTCTACCCTGTTCAATTTTGTTTTTAGCTGTTTAGGCTCCATTGAAGCAGCGTTGTTTTGTGGTTCTTATCTTACAGATTGTGGTATGAGCTCATAAGAATGAATCTAACTGAGGCTTTCACTTAGATGATTGGAAGTGGCATGATATATTGACCAAGGTAGGCAGTAGCAGTCTCTAGTGCAGTCTATTGTGCATGTGCGTAGAAGTACTTTTACATCATACCCTCAATCCTCAAAGCTTACTTTCTAAAAGTGGCCTCAGTATTTAATGTTTCACACCAAATGATTCTTCAGTATTGTTAGGTCTGAAGTGTGAAACTTCCATCGGTTTTGTTTGCAAATTCGTGAGCACAAAATTGGAGGGAGCACTTGTTTTGTACAATTAAGTATGGTTATATCTTATGAGATATCTAAAGGCTTTGTTGTTGTTGTTTTTGTTGTTGTTGTTGTTGTTGTATATCTTATGAGATATTTATACTCTGAAGAACATGAATTTCTCACCTAACAGAGAGAAACTTACCAGGTAGCAGTATAAAAAAACTATATAGTTAAGGTGCAACATGGTTTTGTGTTGTGAAAGGAATCAGTATACCCTTCCCTTCAATCAGATTAATCTGGTGTAAGCTGCTGTCAAAGTTCAATATGTTCCATGTGTCGGCTTCATTACTACTTTATTTACTGCCTGTACTGCAGTAATAATGTTGCACAATTGATGCATTGTTTCCTTGAATCAGATTAATCTTGGGTCTATTTTGTGTAGTTAGCTTCTGATAGAAGTTTTAACAACGAATCCTTTGGGATCTTGTGCTGCCGATAAAAACGAGGTATGGCAAAATAGGGCTCGAAAAATATAGGATCATTAGTGTTTATTAGTTTTATTTGCAAGATGAGGGTCATGCGGTGGGTATCAGGTGGCATTCAGCTGGGACAAGATTGTTTTTTCTGGAATGAGGTAGATGTCAGAATGAGTGGGGGGAGTAAACATAGCTTCTATTTCGATCTTCAGAAGTCAAGAATAGAGTCAGTTCCTACAAACTTTCACTGTAATGTTAGTGAAGAGCCTGCTTTATAACTGACATTTCTGGAAATTCTTCTTTTCAGGATGCTTGAAGACTAGAGCAAAATGGTTTCTCTGAATGTTCGCTGGTTGGTGCTGGTGCTGGTTTGGGCTGGCTGGTGCTGGTTTTTTGTAAGAGAAAAATACTGTTGGCTGGCTGATTTGGGCTGGCTGAAACCAACAAGCGAACAGGCTTCTGCCACTAAAAGAGTTAGTTCAGGGCCGTGGGATTTACTTCATGGTGGTTGGAGGTGGGGCTGGTTGTGGTGGTGTTGTCCCTTTGCTTAGCCCGTCTGTTTGTCTCGAGTGTGTGTTGTGTATTTGGGAGGGGCTTTCTTTAGCCTCTTTTTTCCCCGTGTGCAGTTTGTATATTTTTTTTCATTTTTTATGAAATGATATGCAGCTCTCGTATGTTGTTCAAAAAGCAAAAAGGAAAAAAAGTTCGTTCAGGGAAGGACCATGTAGTACTATATTGTTTACTACACTGTCTTTTTCCCCGTGGAATTTGAAGATTGGCAAACTGCTAAGTCTGACACGAAATATAAGGCCTTTTCAGTTTTCACATGCACTCGAGCATCATGTACTGACCTTGTACTACTACACATTTTTAGGGTGCGTCTAGATGCCAAAATTTTTTGGTTTTGGGTGCTGTAGCGCGTTTGTTTGTATTTGGTAATTAATGTTTAATTATGGACTAATTATGTTCGAAAGTTTCGTCTCGTGATTTCTCACCCAACTGTGCAATTGGTTTTTTTTTCGTCTATATATAGTACTCCATGTATGTGCCGCAAGATTCGATGTGATGGATATTGCGTAAATTTTTTTTAATCTAAACAGGCCCTTACGTGAATATCACAAAGAGTTTTTGTGGAGCCCAGAACATACCTTGAAAGCTGGGTGATTGACATTGACTGTTAACTGTAGCCTGTAGGTGTCATAGCATGTTCCCCTTTTCATATGCTTTTGCTTGCACGGTTGAAAACAAATTCATGTGTTCTCTGTGCTCTTTCATTGATATAACTACAAAGTAGAGATCGGTGCAGTGCCAGTCAACAAGAATAATTGGTTCAGGGTGGCTCTGAAACTTCGTTTCCTAAGAACATGGAACTATGTTTGAGTGTTTTCGCTTGTATCTTAGTCCCTCCTTCGCAAAGAGAATGCAATTGTAGCTATAGTTCTTAGTCGATCCATCTTCTGCTTGTCCAATTTTTAGGAAAAAAAGTACTAATATTTATGATATCAAACTAGTATCATTAGATTCATCGTGCAATATATTTTCATAGTATATCTATTTATAATCATAACTGTTTACAATTTCTATAAACTTAGTCAAACTTAAAATATTTTGAATTATACTAGGTCTAAAATTGCATTTTTTTTGGGACGGAGGGAGTAAAAGCTAAGTGTTTCATAGCCTATTCTGTGAAGTATAATTGCCTGTTTATGTTTCATATTTAAAAAACTAAGTGTTTGGGGTCCCCTGATTATTTCTGCTGCACCTTCAGTTATCTTGCAATGGTTCAGTACATGATGCGTTTTCTCTCAGTGTTATACATATCATGATACTGCTGATACAAAAAAAAAAACAGCTATGATTTTGGATTTCATACTTAGATATGTTCGCTTGTGCTTTAAGCCGCAGTCGCGGTATGTTATGATGGCTACTACTACCTCTGAGGAAGTAATCGTGAGTTGTGGGAGGACGTGGTTTGATCTCACGGCGGTGGCGAGGCTTCGATGCTGTCCTGGCGGTCGGCATCAAACAGAGAGCGAGAGCGCACGAACACGAGAAGGGAGCGGGAGAGATTAATCAATCTCCAGCCGAACTTATCATTAACCAAGTGTTTAGGCTTTATAGCCACATCCTAACAAACTCACCAAATTGACTAACAAACTTCAAATCGACTAACTGAACTCAATATGGGATCCTAGACTCTAGGAATGGCGCCCGCTCTGGACGCGGTCACCATGCAGAGGCCGCGCGCCGCGCGCGAGCTGTTGCCGCTGCTCCGCCACGGCTGCGCTTCCGGCGCTGGTACACCTGGTCCACCATAACATCTCTCCCTCCCTCGACAAACAGCTCGTCCTCGAGCTGGAAGTCAGGGTGGGCCTCGCGGAACGTGTTGATCGGCTCACAAGTAGCTTCATCGTCTGGAAGGCCTGCCCACCGAACGAGCACATGCCAAACGCCACGGCGCAGCTGGGCGCATAGCGCCCGCTCTGGAGCTTCGAGGAGACGGCCATGGCGTAGAGGTGGAAGAGCCGGGGTCACTGCGGGTGGGGTACCGTGGAAGGGCTTGAGGACATCGACGTGGAAGACATCGTGGATATGGGCGTTCTGTGGAAGCAATAGACGGTAGGCGACATCGCCCACGCATTCCATCACCTGGAAAAGCCCGGCGTAGCGCGGGCTCAGCTTGCCACGCCGCCCAGGCACCAGGGACTGAGCCGGCCGATGGAGGAGCCAAAGCAGCACCTAGTCGCCGATGTTGAACTCCAATGCACGGTGGTGGCCGTCGTAGTAGCGCTTGGCATAGGTCTGAGCCTAGAGAAGGCGATCGCGGACATCGGTGAGGAAGGCGTCCCGGTCCTACAGAAGAGTGTCCACCGTAACTGTGCTCGCCACGGATGGCTCATACGGTAGCAGTGTCGGGGGAGGGTGGCGTAGACCACCTGGAAAGGCATAGTGCGCAGCGCGAAGTGGAATGCAGTGTTGTAGCAGTACTTGGCCCATGGAGGCCTTCAACAAAGTTCATAGATATGTCAGACCAAACCTGTGATGGAACGTCGAGGGGTTGGAGCAGGTCGGCCGGGTGGAGCGCCTTCGTCTTGTTTGTTTGGCATGTGGGGCAGGAGAGAACGAAGTTGCGGACCACAGTGCAATCGTGATCCACGACAAAGTCAAGGCGAAGGCGTTGTAGCGTCTTATGTACCCCTTCGTGCCCGGCCGTGTGTGCGAGTTGTAGCACAGCCGGCAGGACGCTGGACATGGCCGGGATGTAGATGCATTCACCACGGAGGATCAGGTCGCCCTCGACGTGCCACGGCGCGCTGTGGGCCTCAATGATCGTGTCGCGGAGAAGGCATAGTTGATCATCTGCCTGGAGCTCAGCGCGA